GCAGTAGAATTGGGATTCGGACATTTATTCTGGTTCAGCCATTCAACATTATTATTGTTATTTCTTGTTTGAATAAGAGGGGAGGAGATTGGTTGGCGAAGAAGAAGAACCTTGTCATTGGCCTATGTTGGAGTACATCATCTTCTTCTTCTTTCTTACTTCTTCTCTTCTTCTTTACCTCTCTCTCCTCTCAAGTTCATTCATTTCTTTTTGCAATTGGACGGCATTGTACTTTCTGATGAATGTATACTTCGAAATTGGCCAGGATCGTAACATTATTATTTATTGTGAAGTAAAGAGGGGAGGAGAAAAGGAGGAGGAGAGTGGTTGGCGAGAAGAAGGGAATTATCATTGGTCTTTGCTGGTGTACATCTTCCTCTTCTTCTTTCTTTCTTCTTCTTTCTTTCTTCTTCTTCTTCTTCTTTCCCTCTCTCTCCTCCCAAGTTCATTCATTTCTTTTGCAATTGGATGGCATTGTGCTTTACTTCGAAATTGGCCAGGATCATAACACATTGCTTATTTCCTTGCACTGTGATGGTGACGTGAGTTTTTGTGGGCGGTCCAAGGTCATGGATATTGCAGTTCCGGAAAGGGTTTCTTCCGGGGTTGCTATTAGTGAGAGATGATTGATCGGACACTGGGGATCGATTAGTGGACCTGCATAGCTGGAGTACAAATACGACTAGGGACAGCTTTGAAAAAAAATGAAAAGATTTGAACAATTGGGAAAAGCTGGTCTTCACAAAATCATCAGGAAAAACTTTGAGCTTTGAACAAAATTGAAGAAGTGAAGGTTCTGCCTGCAAATCCAGTGCCTGCTCCGTTTCGCTCCTGTGCCCATTTTTCAGTTTGCCCACACGTGTGTGTGTGTCTGTGTGTGTGTGTGTGTGTGTGTGTGTGTGTGTGTGTGTGTGTGTGTGTGTGTGTGTGTGTATTGTCATGTTTGCTATACACATCTCCATTAAAAAAAAGCATGACTGTTCCACACGGTTTCGTCGGGACCTGCACATACAACAATTCAAGCCACACACAGCCATAACCACAGAGAAGAGAGGAAGGGTGGAGCAATACCGCATCCACATTGGGCTCGGGTAGACCCTCCATTCCGAACGGCAACTCAATGTCCTCCATGGCGCCACATGCAACCTGAAAACTGTCGAGCCTCGAGCTGCTTGATCGACCACGTTTGCACAGCGGACCTTCTAGCGCGCAATCAGCAAGGGAGGAATTGAAAGTGTGGTCAACACCTGAACAAATAGTACCCAGGGGTCCTTCTCGACAAACCTGCCCGGTCCCATTCAGTCAGACCGATCCCAACCCAACTTGGGACGATCACACCGCCTCGTACCTCTCTTCCCTTTTTCATTCGAATGCTTCCTATTACCCCGGCCTAGTGCCCTTATTTGCATGTGACCTATCATCCAGACCAGGTACTCACCCCCATGTGACCCATAATCCCAATCTGGTACCTGTCCCTACCCAAGCCAATGCCCGATCTTTGAACCGTCCTTTGAAAAAGTACAGTTGCCCCTCATCCTTGTGTGAGGCCTTGTTTGCGACACGAGGGCTGGTAGCCCAGTGCATTCTCCTGACCCTGAAAAATCCAGATATGCTCTTTTCATGCCCCGCCCCTTACTTCCCGCAGCAACTCCCTCTCTCTCTCTCTCTCTCTTTTTGAACTTCACGGGGTCGAAAACTCGCCGGTTCCTGTAATCTGCTCGACATGCGATGCTGCTTGAAAACCAAAAAAGGAAAAAAATGGAAAAAAGGAAAAACGAAAAAAAAACGAAAAAAAAAAAAGAAAAAAAAAAAGAAGAAAAA